AGCATATTTTCGATATCTTGATTAGCTCTTTCGACACTACCCTGGCTTTGTGAATGGCGAGGCTTCCCATGGACGATCTTCAGTGCTGGCCAAAACTCCTTCAAGCTGGTCACCACATTATTCGCAAATTCCCTACCATTGTCAGACTGTAATATAGACGGCGCTCCAAGCAACGAGAATATGTCCACTAGGTTGTAGGCTACTTCTTCAGCTCTTTTCGACGTTAGAGACTTAAGAATCACAAATTTTGTGAGATGATCTTGGTACACCATAATAAATTTGTATTCTCTATCTGGCTGAGACTGAAAGTCAATAAGATCTACTTGACAACGGGAATTAAATTCGGAAAAAATCATAGGTTTCACAACAATGCCCTTTTTAATACCTTTCTGTTTTTTCTGGCAAGGTTCACAAAGGTGGATGTACAGTTCAATATCATGACGTGTAATGTTTTTGTATTTGGTTGAAAATTCTCTCAACATTCTATCATGTCCTCTGTGTCCAATAACCAAATGAGCTTCATAAAGTACATGAAATAACTCTGAGTCCGTGACGTAATACTGTATAGAACTGATGCCTTCTTTAACAGGATAAATGAGTTTACTTTTGTTTTCTATAATTATCACATCATACCAATTCAGCAACCAATAATCCCTGGGTTCCTTCTTAGTAGTCATTTTGGCTTTTTGTACATCATTTATTAACTTCTGGTAAGTAGTTTCGGTTAAGAAAATACTGTTTTTACAGCATTAACTCGAATTTTGGACAGTTCATCATCGAATCGTTGTTTCATGTCTATAGATCATGACATCTTCTCCAACACTACAGCTTGCTCCTCCATTTTCATGGAGCACAGTAAAAAACTAATTTTTTGTTGAACAAATTTAAGTAAAATTGCGTATTCTGACACTCCCAAACAAACCGCAAAGTGTTAAAAGTCACTTGCCTTGCCACGTGATATTCAAAACGAAACGGAGATGTATTTCATACTTTGCCGGTTTCTCATTTGGCATTCTATAGAATGCCTAGGAAATTTGTAAAATATGAATCATTTCATAGATTGCCAGCTAGTTTTAGGCATTATATACAATACCTAGGCATTCTATAGAATTCCGGATTTCAAACTTTGCCAGTAACATATATACAGGGCAACCAGTCAATCTCACTGTATTCATTGTTTCATTTGCTGTATTTTTTGTTATTGTGATTTCACAGTAATAATATCTTTTGACTTTTCATAAAATTGTCTTAAAACTATATCAAGTGATTTAAATTTTTCATTAATGATTTGTAGTAGTAGTTAGTAGTGTGTTTATCTAAACTATCAAACTAGTAAATTTGACTGCCATTTATTACTATTATGTGTAATTAAAATAACTGCTTAACAATATCTCAGAAAAATGAAAATAAAAATGTCCTTTTACAAAGTAGTTTACATGCATGTGTTTCCATTTCAAATGCAAAAAATCATTAACAGTATTATTTTATAACATGAAGTAGTGGATTGATGCTAAATGATAAAAATATGTATGGTGAAAGCAAGTTCTAGACAATAATCATCCTTGACCTTGCTATTATCAATATTTGTAATTTACAAAGAACTAACTGAAAAAAACACTAAAAGACAAGACTTCATATTACAACTTTTCAAAAAATTATTTGTATAATTTGGAATTTCAAGAAAACAGAACCAAATCTTTAAAATATTTCCAATCTATAAACAATGAAATTATAAAAGACATATGTAAAATGACAAATTGAGAAAATGAAGTCATACATATATGCCATCAATGTAAAAAATTTGATAACATTAAAAGTGCTCAGCAAATAAACACAAAACACCTTAATTTGTTGCTGAGAAAAATATAATTGAAAAAATAAATGTTTTCAGCCCGATTTTGTGGTCAGAAAAGGATATACAAGCAGAAAAGAGGGGTTCCAATGGGAAGACTCCTCTCTGGAATTCTTTGAGAGTTAGTAGTTAGAAGATTAGAAAGAGTTCTACGTAATTTTAAAGAAGATATCATACATTTCGTTAGATATATGGATGACATTTTTATATTATGGAGAAATAATAGCAGGATATATGAATGTTTGAATAGAATCAATAATAACAAAGATGGTCTTAAGTTAAAATTAGAACAAAAAAGTTCCTGGAATGTGTACTTCTTGGACATTAATATCAAGTTCATGGGAGATCATTTGTCCACCAGCATATATATTAAATCTACTCACACCCCACTATATATACCCACACAGTCCATGGATCCATATTGATATAAAATGTCCACATTTCAAACTTTGATAAGAAGAGCTTATTTGTATTGTGATAGAATCGGTGACAGGAATAAAGAAATTGATAGGATATCACAAGTAGCCCAGACCCTAGGTTACAAGAAAAGCACTATTGTAGGATTACTCAAGAAATATGAAAGGAACAAGGAGAGAAAAGGCTTAAATACCACTCCCAATAGGCACTTGAAGTTTACATATAATAGTAATTTGAATAGTATTATGAAAGAAGTTGCTAATAGGAAACAAGCAAGAATGGTTTTAAAAAGAGCCCCAAATTTACATAAGATATTGAGGAATGATAAAGATAGAATAAAAACAGAAGAAAAACCAGGTGTCTATAAAGTTCCTCATGATAACATCCAATTAGATGTTAAGAAAGATTATATTGGCGTCATCAACAGGAACTTAGGAGTAAGATTAAAAGAGCATAGATATAATGTAAAAAAAATCCAATGCTACAATTTTGTCACAAATGTCGCAAGTCCAAGGTTCGGTGGTGAAATGGGACTAGGCAACTATTATAAAACCTGTATCTTCCCCACTTTATCAATGACGGAGGAGAAGTCTGAGATATATAGAAGTAGGCTAAATGAGGGATGTTTAAATGCGAGAGATGCTGAGAGCCTGTTGTCATGGTTAAAAAGTTCACTAAAAACTTGGGCTAGAATTAGTTTATTGGAAGATTTATGATATTTTTTATTTTATTTTGTGTTAATTTTATGTTCTTCTGTTTCTCTTGTATATTTCTAAAAATTTTTGTTCTGAATTTTGATTTAAATATTTGTATTCTATACATGGAACGTATCTGTTCCATTTTCGTTTTTTGACCTGATAATGGCATTAATCGGGCTGAAAGCGTTTGTTTTTCAATTATATTTTTCTCAGATACAAATTAAGGTGTTTTATTTCTCTGTAAAAAATTTGTTTGTGGAAAATGATTATTAAAACAAAAACACTATACTGTTCTAAGTATAAAACTGCATAAACAAAAGTTTGTAAGTATTCTTTATACAGCTTTATGCTTTTTATTACATATAACAGTATTATGTAAAGTTATAATAATTTTTTTATGAATGTAAATTTTCTATAAAGTTTTTCCATTATTTGTTTTAACCAGTTGTACTGACTGGCAACAGCAATTATCACCAGTTCACAAAACTAGTGGTTCTGATGTTAATTCACAACATCATTAGATAGACCCATCATCATTACATAGCAATTACTGCTACCATATGTCTGCTCAATTAGTATTTTTGAATATACTGAAAGCAACAATCACTTTACATATAGTAGTATTTTCCTGACAATACTGCCATAATGGCTTTATGAAGTAAAATCTGGTTTAAAAAAAACACCCCAAAATTGGTGTATATTAATCTGAGATCCATTATGTCACAAAACCAATAAACCAATATAAAAAGAACTATTCACTTTGAGAAGCGAACATTTTCATCAAATTTTAAAAGTAATAAACTTAGATAGTTACTGTACTGATGATTGAAGGATTGTTGATACACACTGATTGGCTGTTTCATAATTAATTATCCTCCAATCATCAATGACTATGTAAAGTTTATAATCGGTTCCAAAAATGTGTGATTCGAATTTTAGAACAGCAGCCTGAGGGTGTCCTTTTAAAAATGGACCAAAACATTTGCTTCTCAAAGTGAATAGTTCATTTATGCTGGTATATTGGTTTTATGACATAGTGGATCTCAAAATATCGTGTGTATATATGTATGAGTATGTATATATATATATACTTTGAGTATATAAAACAAGCAATTCCTTTGATAATGTTGACTAAAATCTAAACAAATTAAATCAATTTCATCAATAATTTCCAAAAAACAACTTATTAAGAATTTCTGAGAATTTCTAATTAAAATTTTGACGCTAATACAGTACAGTAGAGCGTCGTTTATCCGAATCAATTGGGGACTGGGGTGGTTCGGATAACTTATTTTTTGGATAATGAATCATGTACGAAAAAATATATTAATTTATCCCATGTTGAAATTTCTCTCCGTTGCATGTCGCTTCGCGTTGAATTTTCGTCAAAGTTAAGTCTAACGAAGACTATTGTNATTCATAACAACATAAAGTAGATTATATATAATATAAATATAATATTTATAAAAAAATTGAAGTGTTTTCAAATAATAGTGTTAATATTTCTTGCAATTATTTAAAAAGTATGTTGTTAGTAATTACTTCAAAAATACTTCTAAATTTTCAAAAATAAATGTAAAATCTCATATTGCAATTGTTAGGCTTCATTATACACAGTTTACAGCTTTGTTACACCAAATACTTCAAAATTTTTGGTACTGTCAAGTTGAATTAGATCAACTGAAAAAATATTGAGTAGTTTCCATGAATGAAAATATAGTTCACTTCACACCAGCATTTAGAAAATGAAAAATATGACACTTCCATGTTGCGGTGTTATTGACAGCGATTTGTTAAATTTCAGATGTGCTCGCTAGTACTTTCAACAGTTTACAACCGTGGTCTTCAGGCGAAATGTTGATTCGATTTCGCCTGAAGACGACGGTTGTAAACTGTTGAAAGTAGTAGCGAGCACATCTGAAATTTAACAAATCGCTGTCAATAACACCGCAACACGGAAGTGTCATATTTTTAATTGAGTAGTTTCTCAAATACAGGTAAGATTTGAGTTGCCAAATAACTGACATAACAAAATAGTCAAAGATTAAAAAATATGTGTTTAATACAATTTACAAAAAATTAAGGTTATTAATATAAATTAGATTTCAAATATATTCTAATACATAACACACATAAAAACTGTGATTTTTTCTTCTCACCATATGATGATTATTTGTAATTATATTTAAATGAATTTTGTAAAACATCATAACGACCAATTTAGCAGTGCAGTAGAACACATTTATCCAGCTTAAAATGGGATCAGGCCAATCCAGATGACTGAAAATCCAAATAATTTAGAAAATTCATTAATAACAGTTTATTTTATTTTATATTTCTAATTTTTTCTCCATCATAACTATTTTCTTTATTTCTTTAGATGTAATTTTCACAAAGTTCACTTCACAAAAGATTGAAGGTGACTGAAACTGAACAAAACAATACTAGCTATGGATGTTGAGTGAACAACAAATTGCAAGGTTACAAACAAATAAATTTATTAACATACATCCATATTTAGTATGGGCAGTCTGTAATTTAAAGGCTCTGTCTATGTCCATACTGTACTTAGAAAAAATAAACAAAATGTCCGTACTTTTCAACTGATTATGCTGTTAATAGTTAAATCATAACCACTTAGATTTAAATCTGACTAAAGGTGTTAAATTTTTGATAATCATTATTGTATTTGTTGGCTATGTGGCAACAT